CCCCCCCCCAAGCACCCCGGGATGATGAGACTCGCCAACCCTGGTTGTGTGGGATTATGTCTGACTGACGATTACTTTAGATTAGAATTTGTCTTACCATAGATGAGGATATTTCTTAGTATAAAAGTGGGTAAATGGGTGCTGTGTGGCCCAATGGTCTGAACTGAGCAAAACTCAAGTTCGTGGTCTGGAGCTCATTCCCCATCAAAGACTTCACAAGAAAACACCCCCCCCCCCCAAGCACCCCGGGATGATGAGACTCGCCAACCCTGGTTGTGTGGGATTATGTCTGACTGACGACTGTTATGGTGAGTAGTGAGTGAACTTGGTGACCTGATTGGTCCGTGTCGTTGTCATGTGGTCATGACTGGACGTGGTCAGTTGTTTTTATTCATGAATGTTTCAACTTACAGGCGTGGAAAAGTGGAATGAGTGATCGTGACTGTGAAGCATAAAAAGAATGGAGAATAAAGATGAGTCGTTACACCGAACACGGACGGGTTGGCGTCTTTCGTTGTTATTACAGGATGGCAACTTGTCTAACTGGAAGCAAGCCCTGAGTTGAAACTCGGAGATGAAGTCCCGTAGGCGAATAACATTGGCACTATGAAACATTCCGACAATTCCTGCGACGCTACTGGTGCCAAGCTGTATCATCCAATGATGTTCCCTTGGGTTATCCAGGGGCGTGGTGGTGTCAAGCTGTATTATCCACATGATGTTCCCTTGGGTTATCCAGGGGCATGGTGGTGCCAAGTTGTATTATCCACATGATGTTCCCTTGGGTTATCCAGGGGCGTGGTGGTACCAAGCTGTGTCATCCACATGATGTTCCCTTGGGTTATCCAGGGGCGTGGTGGTGTCAAGTTGTATTATCCACATGATGTTCCCTTGGGTTATCCAGGGGCGTGGTGGTACCAAGCTGTATCACCCACATGATGTTCCCTTGGGTTATTCTGCAGCGTGGTTGGCGGCGACTTGCTGTGTAGGGAACCAGCTTATAATCCTAACAAAGAATAATCCCTGGCCTTGTGGATTTCGTCCTGCGCGGTCACACCATCGTCACATTGTGAAGGAAAAAAGGATACGTCTTAGAATAGATAGGATGTTTCTTAATATCAATCAGGGTGTATTAGGGTAATGAGGATTTTTCTTACTATTACATCTTAATTTAAACCTAAATTGTCATTTTTATTTTTATTTTTTAAATTTAAAGTTTATGAGAATGAGTGAAACAGTCGGAACAATGAAATATCGCCATGCTCGTTGTATGTGACGATCCGAATATTTGAGGCAAATCTTCGTACGTCATCTTATACTTTTCTTTTCGAATATAGGTTTTAAAACCGCACCATTACTTCCATTGTTTACATTCACTGGCATTTTGATGTATTGCAACACAGCTGGTCTAAAGTCTTTCAAATGTGTTTCTTTTCTGACACTGTGTCCCAGAGAAGATAGATAGATGTGAGCGCGTGTGTGTGTGTGTGTGTTTGTGTGGTGTGTGTGTGATTTTGTGTGTGTGTTAAGTGAAAAACTGCATCTATTTTCAAATCTTTTCTATTAACTTCGCTTTTTGAGTGTTTAGGCCAAACTATTCGGACGGCCATCTGACCCACTTCCCGCCAACCTATCGAGCTGAAACGTAACACATCAACTCTTTGCCACGGACAACACATTCGTTCACACCTTCATCCTCAGTCCCCAACCCCAAAAGTATTTGTTCCCCTGTTTTTCAAGCTGGAGATGAAGGAAAGATGACGAAAATGATCTCATGACATAAAATTCCCGATAACAGCGTGAAATGAGATTCCTAAAATATATGATGTTCGTCAGCCGGGAGTCGACCATGACCTCTTTAATCATCAGACGTGTGCTATTTTTGTCTTTGGGTGCGCCGATGGCCGATGAGGCCGATTCCGGCACAAAATGTTCTTGTGCATTAGTCCCGAGACCGATGAGGCATCTCCGGGAGCAGAGTCAGACCGGCCTTCCTGAAATGTCTCTTGCGCTCTGCAGCCGCTGTTCTGCCAACTTCATGTTCCATGGATCTTCTGTGTCAAGTGCAACGCCATGATGTTCCAACCTTCGCTTTTTCCTCCCAAGTGTCTGGGTTTATTTCGAACGCTTTCAGTGAGGCTTTTAGGTTGTCTTTAAAACGTTTCTTCTGCTCGCCAACAGACTGCCTTCCATGTTCGAGTTCACCATATAATATTCTTTTGGGGAGACGGTCGTCAGACATTCTCACATGTCCCACCCAGCAGAGCTGGGACTTCATTAAGATGGTAAAGGTGCTGGGGAGACCTGCCCGTGTGAGCACCTCAGTGTCTGGGACCCTGTCCTGCCATTTAATGTTGAGGACTTTTCTGAGTCTTGTTGTATGAAAGTAGTTCAAATTTCTTCCATGAAGTCGATATACCATTCACGTTTCACAGGCATAGAGAAGCGTATAGCGAGAACAGCCGCCTGATATACTTTCAGTTTAGTTTGAGTGCTGATACGTCTACTGGCCCATCCGTTCTAAGACAATCTGCCATAGGTGGCACTGGCTCTCGCAATACGGAGGTTAACCTGGTCATCGATGGTTGCGCTTTCGGGCAGTGTGCTGCCGAGATAAGAAAAGCTATTCACTACCTTAAGCCTTTCGCCATATAGAAATCGCAAGTGCATCTGGTGCGTAATATTTTCTTTTGTTTTTTACTGAAACAGTTGGTGAAATCAATTTTTGGTGTAAAAGTGGGTGGGTCATTAGAAGAACAACATTTTAAAAAGGCAGATTTGGAACACTTTGTTCTTAGGTGTTGTAAAATTGAAATATAAGTTGTTGTGTCTTTTAATTTGCCCCACCTATTTACAAGCAGACACGTCGCTTGGGCTCTGTATCCACTACGGGTTGGGCTCTGTATCCACTACGGGTTGGGCTCTACATCCACTACGGGTTGTGCTCTACATCCACTACCGCTTGGGCTCTACATCCACTACCGCTTGGGCTCTACATCCACTACCGCTTGGGCTCTACATCCACTACCGCTTGGGCTCTACATCCACTACCGCTTGGGCTCTACATCCACTACCGCTTGGGCTCTGCATCCTCAACTGTTGCAAAAACTGTTTTCGTGAACAAGTTGTTCGATTTTTAAACCAATTTTTTTAACTTGTTTTAGAAAAATGTTCTTCTTAGTAAATCGTCAAACTTAGAGGTTTGTGGGGAAAAGGTTAGAGATTTGTGGGGAAAAGGTTAGAGATTTGTGGGGAAAAGGCTAGAGATTTGTGGGGGAAAGGTTAGAGATTTGTGGGGAAAAGGTTTGACTACATCAAACCTTTTACAACAGCCTAATTAGTTCATTAATTTTTATTGTCACTGAAAAAAAAAATTCAATGATGAAATTCCAAATAACATTTCGATCTGAATGAAGCAATAATGAAGATTCAAATTACTTCAGATCATCACTCGCATGAATAAATATATGATGTCTTTTGAAAATATCTCCCATTTATGCAATGTTGCAATTTATTTTTTTAAAAATGACTAGTTTTATCCGTAAAAAGATACAAACTTTTTCCAGAAGCTTTTATTTTGATTCTTTTTATATTGGGTAAAACTGGGGACATTGTTCGAAAATGTCCATATTAGACTTTTTGTGTTTTTATGTCTTTGAGTTGGCAGTTCTGATATCGACGAAATTAGGCCACACATATATTTTGAAAATTTATTGCTTAATGAAGTAGCAAAAATTTCACATAATTCTATACACAATTGACTATTTAGTATTAACTAACAATAAAGTATTTCTATAAATCCACCAGGTCGAGGGACACCTACATTTTTACTAGCATCTAGTGTTGCTCTCCGACTAAGTGCAGAGTGATGCAAAACTAAATAAATTTTTGGATGCTAAAAATGCATCCCTGTATTTAAACTTTGATAAAACCAATTCTGGGGATAACCTCACTGACCCCACCTCCCAGACCCATACCCCGCTTTCAATAGCGAGCCTTCGATGCCTTGCATTTCTGCCCCCCCCCCCAGCACGATATAAAGTGACATAACTGGGTGAAACCAAGCTAGGACCAAACAGATACCACAGCCGGAGTGAATGTAGGTTATGTAGGACACTGGGCGCCATAATAGCGCTGATAGGTGCCCTTCTACTCGAAAGCCTAAAGTGCCCCTCTCAAATGCCTGAAAATTCTCAGTGAAAAAAAAAAAGGCCTAATGAGCCACTTTTTATAGAAGGTCAGAGACTGTCATCTAAGAATCCGACTCATAATCCACTTTGTTTAGGCGATCCAAGACTGTCACCCAAAAAATTCGACTCATAAACCACTTTCTTTAGGAGATCCAAGACTGTCACCCAAAAATCCGACTCATAAGCCACTTTCTTTAAGAGATCCAAGACTGTCACCAAAAAATCCGACTCATAAGCCACTTTCATAAGGAGGTCCAAGACTGCCACCTAAGAATTGGCCTCATAATAAGTCACTTGGGGGTGCACATAAAAAGAAGCTCAACCATCTTCTCTCGAAGAAGGACGGATGTCATTGATATTCTTTAAAAATAATAGTAATAATAAAAAAAACATTCATAAATAATGATGTAGTTGTTTTGACAAAAATAATTTTAATCGTTCTAAAAGTAGGTTATAAATAATAATAAGGCTAAACCTATCTTAGATAGCTGGTGTATACAAATATATTAAACATATTTTCCACTTTTTAGTTGATTACATCTGTGCTTGTTAATATATTTTTTGTCTGATTATATTTTTTAATTTAAAAAAATCTGAAATACATATAATTGTGTTTTATTTAATTGATGAGTTATAGCGACATTTATTGTTTTTGTTTGATTCCTTATAACATTATTTAAAAACAAGTTAAAGATTTTAACTTATCGATGTATTAGCCTGTTTCCTGTTCCGTTCAAAACAATAATGACGGCACGAACAAAATTAGTAATTAAGATGACAGAGAAATAATTAATTTTGAGTATTGATATTTTTGCATTTAATAAATTAGAATTTTCTTAAATGGCTTACCACCCGGCAACAGATCCCGATGAATCCTTTGATTATCTTTTCAAAATTGTTCTCATTGGTGATGCTGGTGTTGGCAAAACTTGTGTTGTCCAGCGTTTCAAATCAGGAACATACACCGAAAAACATGGTAGCACAATTGGAGTAGATTTTACAATGAAAACACTCAACATTGATGGAAAGCTTGTTAAGGTAGGTGGAAAAAGGGAATCCATTTTTGCACATATCTGAAATGATTAACAAGGCATAGGTGGCTAAAGTCTGTTCAGGGTGCCACTTCTGGTAGTGTTGCATTTTCTCACTCTTGGATTTTGACTGGAGTTAACTTTTCTTTTGTTTTAAATATTGGCTAAACCTAGGATAGGATGCCAATGGAATGTGTTAAATTTATTTTTCATTGGGTGGTTAATTATAATATAATACTTAAAAGGAGGCTATATTTTCCTGGCAACTAGATATTTTTAACATTTTGCACGCCACTCATGTCCCAGTTGCCATGAGCTCAGACGTGACATGGCAAAAAAGATGGCGGCAGTTTGATAAAAATGAGTGCAAACACACTTAATAATAATAATAAAGTTCATTTCAAAAACACACTTCATCCCCAAAGGCTCAAAGTGCGGTACAAAGTCAACAAAAACATATCTATAATTTACCACATTTAAAACAAACGCAACACTACAAAAACTAATTTCAAGCATATAATCGCAAAGTCTTTCTAGCCATTTCAACCCGGAGCAACACAGCCATTATGCATTAACTGGAAAATAAGGTAGACAATCATCCCAGAAGGTATTTGCGAAATAGATGTGTCTTTAGATCGGTTTTAAAGGACTCCAGTGTCTGGTTGTTTCTGAGATCGACAGGAAGGGCGTTCCAAATTGTTGGACCAGCAAATGCGAAAGTGCGCTTTCCGTAAGTCTCAAGGCAAACACGTGGTGTCGAGAGTTTGCCACTATCGGATGAGCGGAGCTCTCTAGTGGGTATATATATATTTAAATATATATTTTTGTGGTTCGGACTTACTAGAACTAAAATATTGAGAGAAATTATTCCAAGAGAAATAAAAGAGGCCTATTAAGTTTCAAAACAATTGACTTTGTCGCTGACACAGTTTTTTCCGAGTGCTGTGATCACGTAATTAAGAACATTAACTTAGTCCGGTAAACAAAAAAAGTAATAATAGTATGAACAATTTTCAAAATTAACGTTGCTAGACTAACGAGACATTTTTACAACCTTTGACGATAAAAACTCTCAAATTTTTTCTGTTTCATTAGCTCCCATATCCCCATCTATATTTTTTAATAACACTATACAGTTTCCTTGAAGCGTTAAGACTTTTCAGCTTATAGATTATGTTATTTTTTGACAACCATGAAATTAGCAAAATACGAGCTACGATGTTATGTTAAAAATTATTTTATTCCCCTGCCTAAATATATTCGACAACATTGGGACCCTATTTATCTAATATCCCTTGTAACCACTGGAATTTCAAGACTCGCACCACTGCTCGGCCTTTTGACCAGTAAGATCCCAGTATGACTATGCCGACCGGGGGTATACAACGTCATAAGTCTCGTACATTTGATGGGCGGAAGGGTCGGGACCCCATCTTTTTTGAAATGTTCAAAGGCTACAGACTAGAATCGCGTATCCAAGAGCTTCCAAAACTTTAAGACTCGGGGCACTCATTCTGCACTACCTACTTGTGTTAAAAGACATCTCAATGTTTGGCACTACCTACTTGAGTTAGAAGACGTTTTAATGTTTGGCACAATCTACTTGAGTTAGAAGACTGTTTGTCACAATCTACTTGAGTTAGTAGACATTTCAGTGTTTGGCATAGCTACTTAGGTTAAAAGACATTTAAATGTTTGGCGCAATCTACTTTGACTAAAAGACATTTCAACGTTTGGCACAACCTACTTTTGTTAGAAGACATTATTAAAATAAAAAAAATGGATAATCTAGTTACAGATCGGTTTTATTAAATGATTAACTCAAGGCAAATTTGATAATTGGAATTTTGGACCTCAACTTCAAGTCTTTATTGCACTACAGCATCTGTCCATTGATGTGGCAAAATCTATGTCAGAAAAGCAGCCATTTCTTTCTTCATGTTATATTTTGACACGGAATAAAAGTGGATATTACAATATTTAAAATATGTGGGAACGTTACGATACTGAAGAAAGGCCATTTAAGACCCCTTCCCACCCAACCCGATCCAAAGGAAAGCCATGTTACCAGCCTTCGTTTGAACACAAAAAAGAAAGAAGATGGCCGACCCCGTTCCACTTCCGGAGACACGAATGAATACTGCTTGAGTTGTCTGCTGTGCTCTTTTATTTGTTATATTTTCATTTCTATTGTTAGCTGAGGAAGGCTTTATGACGAAACGTCCGTTGTTTTTTGTCCTGTTATCTTATTTCAAGCTTACACATACCTCGTTTCACTATTTCCTTCATTTAATAAGCTTGAAAGCAGTCCTTTCATTTATACCTAAAAATAAAGCAGCGAAACTTTAAAAAAAAAAATTTAACACGTCTTTTGATGTACCTTTCAATCATTAAGTATCGAAATATTTACCTTTCAATCATTAAGTATCGAAATATTTACCTTTCAATCATTAAGTATCGAAATATTTACTTTTCAATCATTAAGTATCGAAATATGTACCTTTAAATCATTTAGTATCGAAATATATACATTTCGATCATTGAGTATCCATAATTAAGTATCGAAATATTTACTTTTCAATCATTAAGTATCGACATATGTATCTTTCAACCATTAAGTATCGAAATATATACATTTCATTCATTAAGTATCGAAATATGTACCTTTCAAACATTAAGTATCGAAATATATACCTTTCAATCATTTTCTGTCTCGGGTTGATCCTGTAGTATAGGCCAAAACGTGCCAAAGTGTCCTCGTTTTATAGCCATTTTAATTCTTTCTATAGTATAGTAGTTGCTATCCTAGTGTCTCATTTTTTATTTTACTTAATATACATGTTTTTAATAATTGTAAAGCGCTTAGAGCGTTAAGGTAAGCGCTATATAAAAATGCCTAAATAAATAAATAAAAAATAAATAAGTATCGGAATATGTACCTTTCAATTATTAAGAATAAAAATATATACCTTTCAATTATTAAGTATCGAAACATGTAAATTTAAATAATTAAATATCTAAATATGTACCGTTTAATCATTAAGTATCGAAATATATACCTTTCAATCATTAATTATCGCAATATGTACCTTTCAACCAATAAGTATCGAAATATGTACCTTTCAATTATTAAATATCGAAATATATACCTTTCCATCATTAATTATCGAAATATGTACCTTTCAACCATTAAGTATCGGAAAATGTACCTTTCAATTTTTAAATATCAAAATATATACCTTTCAATCATTAATTATCGAAATATGTACCTTTCAACCATTAAGTATCGGAATATGTACCTTTCAATTTTTAAATATCAAAATAATGTACATTTCAATCATTAAGTATCGAAATATGTACCTTTCAACCATTAAGAATCGAAATAGGTACCTTTCAATCATTAAGTATCGAAATATGTACCTTTCAATTATTAAGTATCAAAATATGTTCCTTTCAATCATAAAAAAAATATTTTTAAATTGTTTTTTTTTTACACTTCCGTTTACACCAGAACCTTCAAATATATCTATTAGAATTAAACTCTCTGACCCTATGTCAAGGGTATGAGAATAACTGTTTTTAAGTGTAGATCACTGTTGTTATGTTTGGTATGTAAAAGATGTTTAGTGTAGAGATTTTGTGTGTGGCTGTGTGTATTGTTTGAGATATTTGTGACGTATTTGGGTAGGGGGGAAATGACGTGTGAGTTTTGCTGTTATGATGGATAGATGGCAGTTGTACAATATCGACTGTTTATCTTGTGGATTGCTTGGTGTTTTGTTGGAACATCTGGACTATCAGTCGTAAATTATTTAATAGCGATGGTCTAAGGCAGCGCTTCTCAACCTGTGGGTAGCGACCCCTTCAGGGGTCGCACGACCCTTTCCAAGGGGTTGCCTAAGAACATCTGAAAACACATGTTCTGCTGTTATGAAGTAGCAACGAACAAAATTTTGTCGCTGGGAGGTGGCCACAACACGAGGATCTCTATTAAAGGGTCACAGCATTAGAAAGCCTGAGAACCACTGGTCTAAGGAATTGCTGGTGAATAAAAACGTAGCGTGCAACAAACTGGTTGGTGTTTTGGTGTATTGGTATCACTTGCTATCAGTTACACTGGTGCGTTGAATGAAGTTTAAGACAACATTCAAACAATTCGCCATTTTCCCTTTGCTCCCAATGTTATTTTTGAAGTGGTAACTTTTGTTTTGATGTCTTTGTATGTTATTGAATATTTATATAACAACCTTCAACCCCCCCCCCCCTCTTTTCATTTCCTTTCGCAACATGTAAAAAATGTAAAGATAGGTCAGACAGAGTTATTATAGAAGAAACCAATTTGGCTCTATCATCTGATTGACGGGGGACACTACTGCCATTCCAATAGACGCAAGCTGAGAAAAACTTAATTCAAGTTAACTTTATCACTATACATCAGCAAAGAGCATTTTTTAATGTCAAATAAAAATTATTGCCTCTGTTTACAGGAAGCTATTTCAAAACCCAGACCAGCCAGGTCCGAAGACAGCCAGCTCACACAACCCCACTGATGATAAAACATCGTCGGATTCTGATATCACTGAACGGCTCACCCAAACGGCAGCGGATGCAGAACTCGTCGACTTGGCGGCTCAGAAAACTCCAGGCCAGGAGTTGGTTGATCGTACCGATCTCATGTCAGGCACCTCAAGCGTCGATTCGGAACGTCAATGAATCGGAAGGAGTCCAAAAACTAATTTGATACGACACATCAGAACTTACCACACCTGAACTAACCACCCAGAACTTACCACACTAGAACTTATCACACCCAAACTTAACACACCTGAGCTTTCCTCATCAGAACTTACCACATGATAACATACTACACATAACATACTACTCGATTACTTACCACACCAGAACTTATCACACCAGAACTTACCACACCAGAACTTACCACACAATAACCTACCACACCAGAACTTAACACATCAGAATTGAACCGTATACTTAAATGAACAGTTGTCA